GCAGCAGAAACAAGTGCCCCAGCTCCTCCGCCTCTGCTCTGAGAGCTCCCTGGGTGCCACCTGGGGGTCCCAGGACACCCATATCTCAAAGACGGGATCCTGCAGGGGTGCAGTTTCAGGAACGTCCACTGTGGGGTCTTTTCGTCCACACAGGTGTCTGTGAATCACCCCATTCTTGCTCCAGCCCCAGACGCTGCCTCGGCCCTCTGCATGCTCCAGGACCCCGAGAGCCTGTCCTTCATGCTTGCCCTTGTCCGCCCCAGACGGTCCCTGCCCCGAGCACCGCCCCCGACCCCAGCATCCAGAACCCTCCGCAGCAACTGTTTGTCTGGCCACCTGTGCACGTCCCTCACGGGCACTGCAGTCCCTGCGGACTGACACGGGGCCAGGTCCACGGTGAGCACCAATACGTGCTCGCAGGGCGCGTACAAGGAGCGCGTGCCGGGCCCGCTCTGGGCAGCAGCGCCCTCTGCCTGCCCAGCCCACATGGCGGCTGTGGACAGTGAGGGACAACAGAGACAGCCGTGGGCAGGGCCCGGCGGTGGGTGCTGTAGGGACTTGGTCAGCGTCCCAGAGGAGGTGGCTCTCGCTGCCCCTCTGTGAGGATGAGCCACTCCGAGACTGGACCTGCTTCTGGGGGGGCCAGCGTGCTTCTCAGGCGGAGCCTCCTCAGCTGTCACACGGCGCCCACCCCGGGATCCTGCTGCCACCTCCCAGAGACCCAGTGACACCTGCTCTCCCTTCACTCAACCTCGAAACCCGGCCTCCCTTTGCTGCGACTCAGAGCCTCCCTCATGTCCTCGGGGTCCCCCAGCTTCACTCCAGGTCCTCCCTCCTGAGCCTTAGGGGACCCCAGGGACAAAGGCCCTGCCCACGGGAGTCCCGCCTTCCCTCCCAGGACGGGCCTCCTCGGGCTGCTGGCTCGGACAGAGGGGACAGAGAGGGAGCAAGTGTTCAGGTGCCAGGAGGGGACCCGTGAGCTCAGCCAACGGCACAGTGGTACTTCTCAGGGAGAAGTGGCCCCGGGACTCCAGCTCAGCGACAGCAGAAAGGGCCAAGGCCATTGTCCTCAGCCACCAGTGCTCGGGCCGGTCGGTGGCGACGGTGACAGACAGGGTGACGAAGAGCGGAACAAACCCGCGCACGGACTCGGCGAACGCCCAGAAGCGCCGCGGGCCGCTCGCTTGGCGCCCGGCTCTCATTTCAGACCGCTGTGCTGCCTGAGCGAGTCACGTGCCCGTGAAGCTGAGAACGGGTCCCCCCGAGACGGTGTGAGTCCCTCCTGTCCCCGAGGTCCAGAGCTGCCTGGCCCACGCTGTGGCTTGATGAGCATTTACAGGGAGCTGCAGTGGACGGGGGGCGGGTCAGGCAGCAGAGGCCACAGCGCCACCGGGCTGCTCAGAGCCAGCAGGGCCAGCCCGCCCACACCGTACCTGTGTACTGCAAGGAGGCCCCGGGGAGAGCCGCCCAGAGCCACCAGCATGGCGACACCCCCAGCTCTGGCTGAGCCGCTGAGCCTAGCACACACCAGGGGATCTAGAAGACATGTGTCCAGGGCCACGCCTGGACGGGAGGTGGGGGACGATGTCCTGCTCTCACAGGGAAGGCTCAGACCCCTGTTCCCTGTGGCCCTGACTCAAAGAGCTTCACTGTTGTTTTTCAAACAAAGCAGCAAAAGTCCTCATCAGAATGACTCTGGCCTTAGAGAATCCTTTGCCTGGGAAGAAAACAATGTGACAAACTGCGTGGCCCCCTCCGAGGGTGGCTCCGAGGGTGGCTCCGAGGGTGGCTCCGAGGGTGGCTTTGAGGGTGGCTCCGTGTGCCGGGCCGCTCTGCCCCAGACCACCCGCACTGTCCACTGAAGAGCTTAGCCCTCTACCTTCAGGCGAAGGGAAATTAGCAAATGCTAGCAAGGCCCCCGAAAATGGTCGCCGCCCCCAGGGGGACAGAGCCCGCTCCTGCTTTCCTCGCTCCCTAAACTTAGGAGGGAGGGAAAGATGACAGGAACGAGGCCAGGAGCAGGGCTGTGGGGTTCTGGAAACCCCTGGGGCTAGGCGTCGCCCAAAGACCACCCCGAGACCTCCAGGAAGGTGGCCGAGGACCAGGTCCAGGGACGGCTGCGGGTGTGGCTGGAGGGGCTGGACCTCATTTGTCCGGAGGGCCAGGGTCGGGCAGCTTGCAAACCCTGGGGACCGCAGCCCCGCCTACCACGTGGTCCCAGGTCTGCACCACCCAGTCTCTTCCCCGCATTCGAGTCCACATCCCGCCCAGGGCACCGCGGCTCAACCCGCATTTCACCCTCTGGTCTCAGGGCCCAGACAGTCCTGATCTGGCCTCGGGTGGGGTGGCCCCTCCTGTGCACAGCACACAACCTGTGTGGCTCCCTGCGGTGGACGGAGGCACCTCTGGCCCGGAAGCTGGCCCCACCCTGCCCCCAGCCACTGCACCCCACTTCTTCACCCTCAGGGGGGTCCCCTGGGGCCTCTCCATGGCCTGTGCCAGCCCAGCCCTTGTCTCCATGCCCACCCCACACGCCAAGGCCGTCTCTCCAATGTCCTCATCACCAGCCAACCTCTGTCCCCTGCTCCCTGCCCAGCTCCACACCTGCATGCCAGCTGCCCCCCGGGCCCTCCCCAGCTGCAAGTCCCACAGGCCTTTCTGCCGAGCTCCCCGTGGCCCACACACTGCTCCCCCCAATCCCTGCGACTGCATGTTCCACGCCCCCTCACCTGGCAGGAGGGGAGGGCGGTCTGTTTGGGAGTCAGGGTGTGGCTGGACAGCAGTGGGCCACGCCCAGGACACCTGGGCTCTGACCTCGGCTCTGAGCCTCTCAGTGAGGGACCGAGTGCTTCCTGTCTCGGTGTCTTTAAGGCCTAACTGCCGCCCTGACATTTTGAGCCACGAGACCCCCAAGGCCTAAGCCTGCACGTCCTTGCTCTCGCCAGACACGGGGCACCCACCTGGCCCTCCGCCTGATCACCCTCACTCCCTGCCAGCCTGCGACGTGATCCAGGCAAGCCCAGCACCTGCTCCTGCAAACCAGGAGCACCGCACCCCGATTCTGCAAAACCTCCTCCGCGGCCCGTGGTGGTCACTGCTCCAGAGGGCGGCCGCGAGGCCCCGCACGGTCAGCGGGGTTCTCCTCCCTGGGCTGCGAGTATTCGTGACTGCTCCCCTCCCCTGTCTGGCCTCGAGTGTCAGGTGTACAGTACTTTTCAGGGTAGGGCATCCCCCTTGGGGTCCCTCCCTCACCAAGAGAACCTTTGGCTCCCATCTGCTGAGGGACAACAGCAGGACTGGCCAGGTACCATTTATCAACACCCAGAGGGGCCTGGCACCACCAGACTTGACAGTCCTGCCAGGTTTCTGCAAAAGTACGGTCCCAGGCAGGAGGGACACTCACCACACGATGGCCAGCCTGGGGATGGTGAACATGAGGGCCGGCTCGTAGTCGTCTATCATGTCCTGAGTCAGGTACCCGAGGTCCAGGGCCCTGCGGAGGAGAGCGTGAGGGGGCGGGGCCTGCCAGGGAGAGGGGCGGGGCTTTGAGGGAGGGTGAGGGGGGACTGCAAGAGTGAGGGGCGGGGCCTGCGACGTGGAGGCGTGGCCTACGAAGGAAAGGGCGAGGCCTGACCCCCCTCCAGGGTCACACCCGCAGGGAAGGTGCGGCTCAACCCTGCCTGCGCCCTGCTCAGCGGGCACTCGGGGAGACATGTGCGCTCAGCCCTCAGGCATGCGGGCAGAGGCGGCCTGCGCGGACCTCCACCCCCCACCTGCCAGATCCCAGCTGTGGGGTGGGATGTGTGGTATGCGTGGGAGGGGGCTGGGAGGACGGCCACCAACATACAAAATAAGAGGCTGATCCAAGCGTGGGCCTGCGTACCCAGGAAACCGAAACTCTGCAAGTGGCAGGAGTAAACGGGGAACAGACACCCCACCACAACGGCCGGGTGCCCTTGAGAGCTGCGACTGCCCTCCCGGGTGCCCCTCAGGGCATGGTAAAGGGCTTTCTCTGCACCCCAAGAGCAGGCGCTGCTGGCAGGACGCTTCCAAGTAGAAGATATTTTCAGTCTTCTTATTTTTTTGGTGATTTGAAATATCTCTCAATATATAAACAGTGAATAATCTGTCTTTAAAAAGTAACAGGCTTATGTTATGTGATATTAGGCAATTTCGAAGTGTACCTAATACCAGAGCACTGGTCAAATACCAAGGACGTTCCAGGTTAAATCTTAGTCCCGAAGTCCATTCAGAAACTCTGACTTCAAATTACTGCACCAGGCACATGAGAAGCCTGATGCCTTGCCCGCCCCAGGCCTTGTTCAGCAGACTGGCCGCCCAGCAAGGGCCCCGGCCTGGCCCGTGGAGGTGGGGAGCAGGGAGTGGGCAGGTCCAGCTCCTCTGGCACCCTCTCCTCTACCACAGAACTGTGACTTTCTCCTGCAGGATGTGCCCTCTGGGGCCAGAGCAAAGGATGTGGGGCTGAGTCAGGCCCCGCCCCAGGGGAAGAAGGACAGGGTGGGGGGAGGAGGCTCCGCCTCCCTCCCTGGGGCCCTGCGGGCAGCAGCCCTTCACCTCTCCACGGTCTCGCAGAACAGCACGATGACCTCCTGCTGCACGTAGTACTCCCTGGGGGACTTCACCGGCACCATGGCAGAGACATAGCTGCAAAGACGTGAGGGGGTGAGGGGTGCCCTCGGGTCCCAAGCACCTCCTGGACCAGGGGCTCTCCGGTGGGACCAGTGAGGTCCCCCGCCACAGTGTGGCATCAGCAACCTCAGCCACCCACGGCTACCTGGATGACCACCCAGGCCACTCGGCACTCCTCCCGAGCCAGAGCCAGCCCAGTGCCTCCTCGGTCCCCTAGCCCTGCCACCCTCAGCCCTGACTGTCCCCTGCCTGGGTGCCAGCCCTTACCAGTGAGCAAGCGAACAAACGAATGAATGAATGAATGAATGAATGCACACACAGGCGGTGAACATACCCCCGGGGCTGGCCAGGTGTATCAGTGGCTGGGGGAGCTGCACCAGGTGGGACTTGGGGCGCACAGGACATTTGCTGAGTGGACGTAAATGAGCGCAGCCCTGACTGTCCCCTGCCTGGGTGCCAGCCCTAACCAGTGAGCAAGCGAACAAACGAATGAATGAATGAATGAATGAATGCACACACAGGCGGTGAACATACCCCCGGGGCTGGCCAGGTGTATCAGTGGCTGGGGGAGCTGCACCAGGTGGGACTTGGGGCGCACAGGACATTTGCTGAGTGGACGTAAAAGCGACAGTCTGTCCAACCTCTCCCCAGAGGGGACATTTTTCTTTCCTTCTAAATCACTAACTAGCCTTTTCTCGTATCGAAAGCTCATTTGGGAGGTCTGGGCAAGATGGAAGACAAAGCTCAAGTTTCCCTCACCCCAGAGAGGACCGCGGCCTTTAACATCCACTCCGTTTCCTCCTGGGGGCCAACGGGTCATGAGATGGACAACTTTTATTAGCTGGGACCCCCGTGGACATGGACTGACCCTGCTCTTTCTCACCCGTGTCTGTGGACGCCTGCAGCGTGCCTGGCCCCCAGCACAGGCCCCCCAACCCCCTTCCCGTGGGCCGCCCCCGGGTTGGGCAGTGACTGAGCAGACAGGGGCAGGCCCTGCCTTCTGAAGGAGCAGCAGCAGCTCCCTGGGCCACATGGGGGGACAGGCATGGCGAAGGGGTGGACGAGCACAGGGAGGGTGCACGCCCCGAGCCCAGTGGTGGCAGTGGGTGGCAGTGGGGTGGGACAGGGGTGCCGTGCCATCCACACACACTCCCCTGACCTGGGGGGGCCCTGCCCTCATCCTGGGGAGCTGGGTGTACCAAGGCCCCAGCGCAGCGGCCACTCTCTCCTTGCTCGTGCTGCGTCCCAGACCCGAGCACACAGAGCCAGTGTCGTGTTTGTGGGGTGAATGGGTGATCAGGTGGGGTGAAGAGGGCAGCTGGGGACCAGCAATGGGGCAGACGCAGGCTTGAGCTCAAAAGCAGAGACAGGAGGTCAGACGGTGGGAGGCAGCAGCGGACGGGGGCTCGAGTTGGCACCACGATGACCTTTACTGCAGGACCCCCAAGGGGCTTTACCCCTGGGCTGTGTGGGGGGTGGCGGTGGGGAGGGTGGACGCCTGGGGTCCCCTTTATCCCTGGGTCACCTCTGCCTGTCTCCAGGGCTTACCGACACCTACAAACAGGTGTGAAGCGGCTGCAGCCCCTCCCTCTGCAGGATTTGTAGCCGGAGTTATCAGGAGGGGCCCACGGGGCTGGCACGCGCCCTCCCACCGAGCCGAGGCGGTGGCTGCCCACACCCGCAGCACTGTGCGGGGCCCTCGGGTCACCTCAGCTCAAACTCTGCAAACAGGACGTCGAAGTGCCTCAGCGCCTCCCTCATCTTCTCCGTGTAGCTGTTGAGGTCCCGCAGCGCCTGGTCGCGGAGGGCGCCCCGCACGTCCTCCAGGCTGCGGGTCAGCTCCTTGGCCAGCGGGCGCATGGCCATGCTCTCCAGCTCCCGGTTCATGATGGTGGAGCCGGCGGCCAGGCACTGTGGGCAGAGGACGCGGCTCAACGGCGGCCAGCTCTCCGGAGTCACCGCCTCACGCCCAGGCCCAAGGAGCCCAACAGACAGGCCTGCCTGTCTCAGGCCGTCCAGGCTTCAGGGGCCCCCCACCTCCCACTCCCGGCTCTTTCCCGTGGGTGCACGTCCCCCTGCAGCCTGCAGACAGTGGGAGCTCAAGTCAGCCCACACCTAGAATGGCCCGGTCCTCAGGAGGGGACTGTGGTCCCCAAAGCCAGGCGGGCATGGGACAGGAGGGCTGAAGGGCTGCGGCCAGGCTGGGGTGTGGCCATCATCCCTAAGACTCGCCCCCCCAAGTCCTCTCTCCTGGGAAACCCCCGCCTCAAAGTCTACTCCGCTCGCTCCGGGGCAGGCATTTCAAGGACACGGGCCCTGCTCCCCTGGGTTTCTCTTAAGTCCAGAGCAGCCATGGCAGAGATGACGGATGCTCTCACTGTGACTTGGGCCCCAGGGGCCGGCAGGAGGGGAGGGCCGACAGAGCCCCAGGTCATGTGCCTCCTGTCGCCTCCCTGCCCAGCCACAGGAGCTCTCCAGACACCCCAATTAGGGCCATGCTCCAGGGCTGACCAAGGCTCACAGAGAAACGGCTGGACAATGCCAACGCCATGACCCTGGAGCCCGGCGGCAGCCGCTACCTCGGCACCAAACCACAGCTGGCCGGCCAGATTGTCGTGCCGGATCTCCTCGGGGAACTTGACGCAGAAGTCCCTGGAGGCGCGGTCCTGAGGGATGCACACGTCCATGATCTGGTTAATGATGTTTAACACGGTGTCCTGAAACGGAAGGAGACACGCACCACAGTAACGCGGCTGATGGCTGTGACACAGGAGCACGTCTGTGTGACACAGGAGCACGTCTGTGTGCGCCGCACAGTGGCTACAACATTCCAGAAGGACCTAGTAGAGAGCGAAACTCCTGCCGCCTCCTCCCTCATGCCCTGCTCCCCACGCTCACTAGGCGACATACATTCACCTGGAGCACCGGCCGCAGAGCACATAGCTCTGCGCCTCCCCGCTCACCGGGCCACACGGGGAGCTTCTCGCTTTACCCTCGTAGTGGCCGGGCCATGCGCCTGAGCCTCCCTGCCACCCTGCACCACGCTCCCTGCAGCCTCGGCTGCCATGACCGGCCCCCTCCTGGAACACCTGTGCACGGCTTTCTAGGGGCAGAGCTGGAGAAATGGAACAGCGAGGCCGATGGACACACGGCAAGTTCATTTCCACCGCCACTCACTGTGCTGCTTTCATGGCCGTTGTCAGCCTGTGCCGTCCTGAGTGTGTTGACAGCACAGGCAGACTCTGTCTGCTGTTGGAGTGACAGGAGTGAAGGACAGGACATAAAACCAGCCTCTCGGAGGGACCCTTCATCCAGGTGTGTCCCCTCCCCTCCCCTCCCGACCCCTCTGGAAACAGCTGATCAATCGCAGCAACCTGTATGTATATGAGCCAGCAGCTGGCTTCCTCCCCGGGTGACCCTGCCCCTCGCGCTGTGCAGCCTGGGGCAGGCCGCTTACTTTCTCTGATCCTGGGTGGCTATAAAAGGGAGACCATGATTCCTGGAGGCCGGGAGGACCACGTGAGCATGAAGATGCTTGGCTCTGCCCTGGCTCACGGCAAACCTCAATAGTGGTAACTTTTGTTTTAAAGGCTCTTAAAAATTGTTTTACTTTTTTTCCTCACGTTCAAAACGCAAAGGATAACAAGCCGTTTCGAACGCTTTGTGTGTACAGGGGTAACAAGCTCACTTTTATCGCATCTTAAATTACGTTCTATTCTCTCCTTCGAGACGGTCCTGTTCTTCACACATCTACCATTCGTTCTGTAGAAATACAGGAACGTTGAAAGCTTGGTTTTTTTCCCTTTAATTCGTTAAGGATAAAATTGATGCACATTTCGCGGTAGGGAAACGGGACCGTGGGGGAAGCCCAGGAGCAGAGAGAACGTCCTTGAGGGGCGGGCTGCAGGTTGGACATGTTTCCTCCTGATCCGTGTCCTCCTGTCTTCAGAGCTGACGTCCTCCTGTGCACAGACATACGGCTTTGTGTCCTGCTGTCTGTCAGCTGCTGTGGGGACATGTTACGGCATCACGAATCCAGCTCATGACGGATAGCCACAGGACAGGCCGGCATCGTGCGGTCCTCTTCCCCGGGATGTTTTACGATGCTGCTCACTTCACCACCGCAAATCACGCTGCGGCCACCGTCGTGGGGCACGGCACTGAATCTGGGGCTGATTCCTTAGCACCCCCTCAGTGCCGGTGGCATGACAAGGTCAAGGGTTTAAACTCCATTTACTGGCTCTGATTACCATCTGCAGCTCGCTTTCCAGAGAGATTGCACTGACTGACTCTCACCCTCGGCAGCCTTAAATCTCAGCGTCCCCCCTCCTTCTGCCTCTGAGGCTTGAGTTTCATTTTCCTTAGGAAGCAGATATGAAAAATCACCACGAGCGGGAAGCAGGACCTTCTGATGCAAAAATCAATACTCTAAATTCTGAAGGAAATTCTGCACCGCGCAGAACACATTAAGCCTCCACGACACAAAAATCACATTCAGCCGACACCCAGTGGCTCCATCATGAGTCCTTTTAAAAAGGTTTTCTGGGTGGGAAGGTCCCTTTCTCATGATTCAATGAAGTAATGAACAAATAATGGCAATGACAACAGTTAGTGCTCGGTAAATGTCAGGTTTTAGTAAGAGCCAAGGGTCTAGAAATGCAAAACGCTGATTCGAAAAGATACATACACCCCCTGTTCACTGTAGCATTACTTACAATAGCCAAGATATAGAAGCAATTAGATGTCCATCGATAGATGACTGGATAAAAAGATGAGGCACATACATGCGATGGAATATTACTCAGCCATGAAAAAGAATGAGCTCTTGGCATGTGCGGCACCACAGCCAGACCTAGAGGGTATCATGCTGAGTGAAATAGGTCAGAAAGAGAAAAACAAATACCAGATGATCTCATTTAATGTGTGGAATCTAAAAAAAATAAAATAAAATGAGTAAACATTACTGAAACAGACCCCTAGATACAGAGAATCAACTGATGGCTACCAAAAGGGAGTGTGGGGGGGGCGTGACATTAAAAAAAAAAAAGATCCAGAATCTGAGCTCAGCAAGGCAGCACGACTCCCCCGAAGTTGTGTGGCCTTTGGGTGGCGGTGCTTGGACTCTCTCCTACCCTGCCTGGCCCACTGGGACGTCAACTGCCAAGGGCGAGGCCAGGGTCTTTTTTATTCACGGATGGGTCCCCAGTGCCTAGAACTGTGCCCAGCACAAAGTCTGCCTGATAAACATTCACTGGGACTTCTGGTTCCAGCCAAGATGGAAGAACAGAAACAAAATGTACTCCCTCAAACAACAACGGGAGAAATTAAGACACTGGTCCTCAAGACACTCGACATCGGGCAACAAGCGATCCCGAGAGGAGAGAAACGAACAGGGTGACAACTCCGACCACCCTGGTCGCTGTCTTGAGGGGATCTCCAGGTGATGGCACAGACTAGGGTGCCCGGTAGAACCCAGCAAACTCCCTGGTTGAAGAGACAGAGCTGAGAGTCCAGGAAAACTGAGGCAGCTGGCATCCCCAGGACAGGGTCCCAGAGGAGAGAGAGCTGCCCAGCACCCGGAGGTCTGGGGACCCTGAATATCTGACCACCACGTGTCTGCAAGGACCGGGCAAGACGGACCTGCAGGATTAGACGGAGCAGCGGCCAGAGCCTTCCCAGGGCCGGACGGCAGAAAGGCTCAGAGTTCCCAGGTGTCGGGAAAGGACCCAGTGTCTTGCCTGCGTGGTGGAGGGGATTTAGCCCAGAAAAACACAGCTCGGATCCCGCCTAGAGAACAGGACCCCAAAGGATCAAACTGTTCCTAAAAAACCAGCGAGAGCCCAAAAACAAAGCTCAAAAATGGTCGTAGGAACACAAAAATAGCCAGCGTCCAGCAAGGTAAAACTCACAACATTAGGGCCCAGTGAAAACCCACCCGGCCTGCCAAGAACTGGGATTACAACCAGAACCAACCAGAACCAACCAAGGCCCGACGCGGGCGATGGGAGGGGCAGCCGGGTCGCTGAGACCACCGTTACATCCGGCGTCCACGTGGTCATAAACTCACGTGGGGGCAACGGAGGAGAAGGACCCGGGCTGATCTAGAGGTGAAAGTCACAAGGTTCGCGATGGAAAATTTACACCGGATGGGATTAAACTCAGGTGAGACATTTCGGAAGAAAAGAACAATAAACTTGAAGACGGAGCAACCGAAACTCTCCAGACGAATCACAAAACATAATAATAATAATAATAATGATAATAATGATAATGATACTATATCATATCGCCGGCGAGCTGTAGGACAACTTCAAGATGTCAAATATACATATCATTCAAGACCCCAAAAGAGGAGGAATGCGACAGAAAAAAATATTTGAAGAAATAATTGCCAATATTTTTCTAAATTTAACAACTATAAACACAGATGCAAAAAGTTCAATGAATGCTAAACACAAAAACACACGGAGGAAAATACATCAGGTCATAGTATGCGCGAATTGATCAAAACTAATAAGAACATCCTACAAGTGGTAAGAGAGAGAAAGACACGCGACGCACGGGGAGCGGAGACGGAGGGTCACAGCTCTGCGTGGGGACGAGGCCGGTGGCATAACACCAATAACGTGCTGAGGGAACACGATCGGCAGCTCATAATTCTACACCCGGCCAACGCATCTTTCGAAACTCGCGGCAACGTGGAGGGACCTCGAGATAATCACGCCGAGCGAAATAAGCCAGACAGAAAAAGTCGAAAACTACACAATATCGCTCATATGTGGGATATAAACCTAAAAGCGACACACGAACAGGACAAACGAGCAGAGATTCCTGGATGTGGACAGTAGACTTTGGGTCACCAGCGGGTGGGGGAGGGGGAGGAAGGAGGCAGACGGGGAAAGGGGGTCAAATACACGGCGACAGAAAAATCTAACTACGGGTGGTGAACACACGATGCAGTATGTACATGCCTTATTTACTGGATTTAATTAACCAATGTCACCATAATAAAAAATAAATAAATAGGACTAAAACCTAAAAAAAAAAAAACTGACAGTAAAACAGTCCTTCATCCAGGCGAAGGCCGAAGGAACCCAAGGCCAGCAGACCCGCACCGCGGAAATGCTAAGGAAAGCCTTTCGGGCAGAGGACCGTGACCGCGGGTGGAGACGGGGTCTCTGCAGGGCGGGGTTGGTGCCGGGGAGGGGTGCACGGCGCCGGCCCCCACGCCCTCCCGGCCGGCCGGCTCACCTGGCAGGCGGGGAACTGGCTGACTAGCAGCGTGCAGCGCTGCGGGTCCTTCCGCCCGTCCAGGCTGTCCAGCTCGGCGGCCACCTGGTTCAGCTCCTCGTCGGCGTAGTAGAACTGGGCCAGCAGCTGCGGGTCGGACCTCTGCGGGAGAAGGCACAGCGCGTGAGCGGGCGGAGGCGGCCTGTTCCCGCCGTGGCGCCCCAGTGGTGGGCAGGGCGGGCTCCCCAGCAGCCCCCTCATGAGTGTTTCCACCGCTTGTCTCAACACGCCTGTCCTGGCCCCTCTGCATGTCAGCCCACGGGGCTGTGCCTGCCTCTCAGGCCACCTGAGGACAGTGTCTCTGTGGAGAAGCCACATTGCAGGGCCGCAGCCGTGATGGGACGACCCAGGGGCACAGGGAGCAGGGACAGTGCAGTCCACGGCCGCCTGACCAACAGCACGTCCTGACGGCGGCTCAGGAGTTGAC